CATTTATATTCATTTGACTTCTGTGCACCACTGGGCAAAGTTCAGATAAAGGATATATCTGCATATGAAGGCCTTGACTTTTAGTCAACATTTGGATGTCGTGGGGGCTTAGGAAAGAAGATAAATACTTCTCGTGGGTGGTAGTGTTGTTAGAGAAATTTCCCCACTGGAGGTGTGATGCCCACCTACAAGGCATTCAGTACCTATAAGAAATGGCTATTAAATGGTTTGTCTAATCCCAATGTGAGCAATTTACTTATTCTTGCTGGTAAAACACGTTATTTGTACTAATAGGATTTATAGCATAGTTTTCTCCCTCAAGACTCTAAAACCATCTCTCATCCCTGAAATCTGGAACCCAGCGCCCTGTTCTGCAGAGAGGCTGGATGGAATTTAAAGGTGCTCTGCCACGACAGGGAAGTATTTCAGAGCCGAGCCTAGAATTCAGAAGCTCCTGAGCTCTATCAGATCACAGCACCCTTCTCTTATTCATGTGCGGTACTGATTCTGATGTTAATACCAGCGCATTCTGAGGTCACTGATGTTCCTTAACTTCCCTTGAAGATGGGACAGTGGTTCCTGGGAAAAGATGGCTCTCAAGACCCAGAGAACCGAGAGCTTGCTCGTCAAGTTAGCCACAGACGGAAACTGGAGAGGAAGAGGTAGCAGAAAGCTGAGCAGAAGCAGCAATAGACAAACACAAAATGAAAACTTCTATAATCTGAGACAGTGAGAGCATCAATAAGGAGTTTTTTCCTTTTTCTTATAAAAGATACAACTAAGCTTACGTACAAACCAAAAAGAATCAAGTGAATATGCTAGTGAATGAGATTTTAAACAGATGAGAGGGGAAGCTAGGACTCCTGCATTTACTAAATGTGCTCTGGACATCCAGCTGGCCCCGTCGCTCCAGTGAAAAGCCTGGTCGGGACAATGAAGCTGAAATGACCTCTGGATGGCAGCTTTGGAAACACAAGGAAGTCAAAGGGAGGAGCAACTGACACCAACAAGTAAAGATAACGAAAGACAGGGTCTACCGTTGTTTAGGAGGGAAATGTCCCTGCGATACTGCAGAGATAAAGACGACAGCACCCAATTCCCGAGGGCCCTCAGCTGACCCGCTCTGCTCAGTGGGCGAGTGAATCCTGCACCGTTTTTTTTTGTTGTTATTTATTTTAAATTTCAATCATTTATTTGAATTCTGTCACATGGTGGTTTTTCCCAACAGAGAAGTGTTTTGTTGCCCTTGCAGGGCTGACCTAGACACACAAGCCATTCAGAGACGGCTCGAAGACTAACACAGTGAACCTGAGCACTATGAGCCCAACGGGTACAGATCTCCGCCAGCCCAACTGTGGGAGGAGACAGTACCATGGACCAACACTGCTCTACTCAAACCCACTCCTGACCCCCTCAGTGTGCCCAGTCAAGTGACACAAAGGAAATTCTGCAAAGCAAAGAAACAAAGCCCAGGGGTTTGAATTCTTTTATTTTAAGACAAATGTGGGGTGAAACGAGAAGTCCCTTCGAAAGCATGCTTTACAGCAAGAGACGCACTGGCTTGGTCAGAGAATTTCTGAATTCATGACTGAATCATTTTTCCTTGAAGGGCAGCAGAATGTGCCACCCAAAATGTGCCACTTTGGCATAAAGATTATTTTGAGCTGAAGGCAATTGAGAGGAAGCATGTACAAGAAAAGCTCTGTGCCCTCCCTTATTTGCCTAAAAGCGGGACATACATTTTCAAAGGGGTCCCCTCCCCTTTCTACCAGGAAGGACAGAAGTTAATCACTGGAGACAACTCTAGACCCTGATCAGCCAAGAGGACACCAGAGGAATTCACGTAACAAACTTTAGGAACCAGCCCTTATCTTCCATTAGTTCCTCCATTCATTTACCTTCCCACAATGTGCGGCCCTGGAAGTTCAAAGCCCTTTCCTCCGTCTCGTCACTTCTCTACAAATGTATTGCTCTTTGGTTAACATGCTATATAAGCCACCCCTTGGAGTTACTCATCTCTGCGTGCTTCCAAGAGCAAGTGCAATGCACGTGTTAATATACTTCTGTCTGTTTTTCTCTCCTCAATCTGTCTTTTGTCAGTCCAACTTACAGGGCCCCAGTCAGAGAGCCTAAGATGGGTAGAGGGAAAACAGTCTTTCCTCCCCTACATCCTCAAGAAAGAGTAAAGTTACAACAAAGAGTAAAAACCCCCAATAAGGCGAACCAATTTACAGTTCATTTTTTGATAGACAGAAGTCCCCAAAGCTGGGATACTCAGAAGGCAGAACTTCCTCAGCAAACATCTCCAAAGCAAAATCCCCCCTCCCGCCATGGGATTCTGCAGAGATGAAGTCTGCCAGGTGGTGGGGAAGAGGGCTGCTCACGGGGAATACGAGCTATCTGGCATTCTAAGTTCTTTTGCACTTGACATAAATGACAGTACTGATGGTGAACTAGAGAATATCATGAGTCACCTGTCTTCACTGGATAAGTTCTCTGAGGATATTTCTTAGACAGACAGAGCAAGATGAGACCCTTTCAGTCCACCTTAGGAGACAAGCGGTTGACCTGTCTAGGACAGGACAGATTCCGGTGGATGGAAAAAGATGCCGTGTGCCATCTTTGACAGCATTCTGACTACCTCTTCCCAGTATTTACTAACATATCCCACAAAGCAGTGGACAAAAAATAAATTAATTAAAAAAATAACTACTGCTGTTCAAACCACATGTACAATTGAGTCCTTAAAATATTCTGCAACCAAGACAGAAAAGGAAATTGCCTCCATTCACGCAGCACCCAGAGGATAACAGCAGTTCACTGAAACGTCATCTGACTTTCAGAAATTAGGAAGACTCAGTGCAAATGCATCCCTCCCTCCATGAAAGTGTAAATGATTGAAAACATTTTTAGATTAGATTTAGATTTCTAGTCAGGCAATGAAAACAACACTAAATTTGCCTGTATTTTTAGGATAAAACTCAAGTCAAAAACTTTCACATTTGGGAGGGCTACTTTGGGTCACCTCCCCACGTCACCTCATATGTGTCCTTAATCCTCTACTGCAAAG